AATGTTTTCTGCTACCTCCAGGTGGTTAGGAGACTCCAGGCCCAGTCTGACAGAAAATGATTTGGCTTTAGTAATATACATGATCATCACATTACAGAGGCATGAAGTAATCAGCTTAAAGAAAACTAACTAGTATAGGATGTGGCAGAACAGATCCTCAGGCAGAAACACATTAGCTCCTCAGTTTACTGTCTATAACCAGTCAAATATTATCTCTCTGCCTCTACCATCAAGGTTTTCAGTGACCTCCACACAAGAAAATTTTTTTAAGATCTAAAACTTTCCTCAAACATCACTTTTTTTCTTAAAAAAAAAAACAAAAAACCAAAAAAAACCACAAAACCACAAAGACAAAAAACCCTGCTTCCTTCATCTAACCATCCATATGAAATACATACACCACAAGGAACAGAAAATGCATGCTGAGAAACATGTATTGTATGCATTGTTCCATCTCCCACAAGAAAAAAAAAAAAAAGGTCACTTTTCTAACTCTGATAACTTCAAATTATTGTCTTGTTTGGAGAAGGACACCAGGAGAGAACTCCCAGTAGTATATGTTGGAAGGGCTTCAAATACAAGAGCAGGGAGAATACCTCTAAAGGACCAGAAAAATAAAATAGCTTTCGTATGGAACCAATGATTTGGTAACACACAACTTCAAAGTATCAATAGACACAATGTTGTACTTACTAGCGTGTGGACACAGTTGACAACCACATTAAGATTGTAGCACTTCAGCCGAAACAGAAATCCTTCTTTCTTACACACCTCCAGCTTCATATTACTTCCACCTTCCCTAGACCTTAGCATCAGAAATCTTTCTTACTCCACAACAACTTGGATCAACTCACTTCTCTGGAGACAAATCTTTGGCTGCATTAATTAAACCAGCTGACCGACCCAACTGAGGGTAAGAGGCTGGAGCCAGAGGGCAGGACTGCTCCTCCTGGGGAATTGCAACACTTAGCTACTGTTTTCACACCCACCTGAGCTAATTTAATGGTAAAATGTAAAAGTCTCTCTCCTTGTTTCCTTTGCTCTTCGCTCCTCTCTCCCTGCTCCCCTAGTTTTCTCTCATTTCTTCTGTATTTTCCTCCTAGTTTTCACACAGGTCTTCCTCCCATACAGCAGTTCTGATAATTGTCAGACCTTTTTATGAGTCAAATGCAATAATTTGCAGTTTGAATCACCTATTTTTAGTAGTTAGAGGACCCTGCAAATAGCACCGCAAGGATATTTACTTCCGAAATCTTATCTACTGATTCCAAAATATTCGTGAGAAATACGAACATATGAAACATAGTCACAGAAAAAAACAACATGTATAGACAGGAGTCACATACTTTTTCGCTAATGATTCAAAATGCTGTATAGCAAAATTAGTCTTGCACTTATCTGCTGCAAGGTGCACCATTAATTTAGGAATGTTACGACAGAATTATTTGTTAAATTCTAGACACACTGAGTACTGCCATCATGCCTTTTGCAGTTTATTTTTCTTCATCCCTAAGTAAAGTCCCTGAAAGGCATAATTTATTGACTCAAAAAAAAAAAAAAAGCCCACAGAAATTCTTTTATATGATGTCATACATTTGTTAGTATTGCTTATTAATATTGGATTACTAAAGAATTGTTTACTTGGTAACATATAGGGATGATGATGTAAAGAGGACATTATTTAAGTATCATACAGATTATAAATACTGAAAGCGTAACATCAAAAAGATCAAAGTTAGCTAAATGTAGATGTATTTTAAAGACAGAAGATGTACATGAGACAAACAAAAAGATTAAATAAATGGTTTAATTTACACCTTTAAAAATTATAAGTGGATTTGAAAGAAAAACAGAGCAAAGGAAGTTGAAAAGCAAGCACATGAAAATTACTAAGACAAATGAAAATTGCTTATGAGATAGATCTGTCTTTGTGGGCGTATCAAGATGCTTAAAGTTATCTGTGTTATTATACTGTGAAGGATAGATAATTTCTTTGAATGTTGAACAGAACAGAAACAATTTTTATGACAAATTTTGGACCTAATTTATGAGAAAACCTTTTATTATTTATTTATTATGTTTTCTGGTATCTGCTGGTTCAAACTGATCAAGTCAATATTGAGTTAAAACTAATATTTGAAGACATTTCAACATGGTTTGACAAATCTCTGGCAGCTTCCGTTTGCTGAGACTTATTCTTTTTTCATAAACCCCATTGTAACAATATTACCACACCTAAGAACATTCCTATCATGAATCCCGAAATTGTATAATGCATTGAAAGCACAAGATTTATATCAAAATGAGGGACCCATTGAAGTTCATCATAAACATCAGAAAAGCTATTAATATCAAAAACTTGTTGACTGATGATAAAATATAAGTCTCTAGTGTTGACATAGTCTGGCTTTACTCAGAAGCATTATCTATTCTGGCCTCACTGAAAGCAAATGGTTCTGAAGACATCTATTCTTCCAGTATTTTCAAAGAAAAACATGAGCAAGGTACTCCTGTTTCTTGTTAAAAATGGCCAAAAAACAGACTAAAAAAAAAAAAAAGTAACAGAGGAGTATAATATAAAGGATAAAAAGAAAAACACTAGCCAGAAGAAAGGATAGGAAAGTACAGTAAGGAAGAATTCAAGATGGCAAAGTCAAAAATTTAATGACAGATACATGTAAAGAACAGAGTAAGAACCATTTCATTTTATTTTCTTCTTCATGGCAGAAAAGGAAGCTGTAGAGTTCCCTACAAATAATAAAAATAATCTGATAATTTTACTTTTACTGGTTTCTTAGTAAAAGACACTTTTACATATGTGCACACACCTCCCAGCAAGGCAAGTACATGAATTACTGCTTTTTAAATGGAGAGTGTGTATTTTGACATATAATTCTCCCCAAATTCAGTTAGAATAATTCAAATGTGAGAGGTAGATCTCAAGGCCTATAGAATTAATCACCAAATTTTAGAAATTGTCTCTTCAAGCCTATCTATTGAAGCAGGCTACTCAGCAAATAATAAAAATATTTTCCAAATTATATTTAAGCAAGTAAAATCCTTAAAATAGTTTCTTAGTTCTGGCAGAATTTTATCAAAGGAATTCAAGAACTGTTTGCTTTATACACTGAAACTTTGACAATGTAACAATATGGGGAAAAAAATCAAAACAGATCTTGATTAGTGGCATTATCTAGCTTTAAATATTGTCCAATAGTTATCACTTCCTATCCTAGGTAAAAAGTCAAAAATTAAAACCAGAAAGACCCACAGTAGCATAAGATATTTTTCCATTCTGCTATTGCCTGATCTCTTGGAAAAGCAGGAGAATCAGCACCACAACCAGAAGCGTCCAATTAGGAAAGTTGCTATAAATTTTGCAGATGTTTCAAGTCAAAGGAACCATTTTGAACTTGGTTTGAGTCTAAATCCCTAGTGGTTTATTTCTTTTTTTTTCTGGTTTTAAGCCAAAAGGTAACTTTCTGACAACTATTCTACTAGTCTAGCAAACTATTCATAACCTTGCTGATAGCTATCTTTGCTGGTAACCAGCACTAGGTAGCTTGAGAATGTTATTCATATCAGAATCATATTAATGATTCAGTGCTATTTGATTCAGATAATATTAAAAGAGTTACCATGAAATACCAACTGTACTGGAAAAAGAGTAAAAAGGAAAAGTCACAAACAGGATAAAAATAACTCCCAAGAACACAAAAGCAACCATACTTAATTGGATCAAAGGTCTATTTAGTCCAGTATCTTATTTTTGTCAATAGCTAAAAGTTTGTTTCTGAAGTACAGTATAGCTACAGGAAAAAATATTTCATACTTAAGACCCTTCCACGCATTTTCATATTTGCCTCATGAAAGGTGAATTAGTCAATAAAAATTCAGCAACACATTTCTGCTATTCCCTTCAAAGCATATGGCCATTAATATATTATTTTAGCAAGAAATTATAAATATACACTTTCTGGATTTTTTTTCAGTGTAAATTGGCATCTCTGGAGCAAAACCCAATAATTTTCTTAGAAGCTAATCATAAAACATGAGAAATACAGAAATAAGAAAAAAAAATCAATATTCTACTTAAATAGTATAAAAAAAAATAAGGAAGAAAAATATAACTGGTTAGTGTTTCTGTTTTTTTCTAAAAAGATTAAAAAAATCTAAATTAATTTCAAAATAAATATCTTACCTCATATGCATCACCCAAGGAAGAAAACTGACTCCTTACGTGGCCAAGTTTGTACACAACTATGAAGACTACGCAGCGGATGATTTCCAAAACTCCTGCTTTGGGCCTAGAAACAGAAAGTAATTCACATTGGCATCTGATCTGTTCTTCTGTGTTAAGTTCGGCGAAAAAGAGAATGTAGAAATAGTCTGTGATGTCCTGCACTTACACCAAGTCTTGGACTTAACTTGTAATACTGAATTCGCTAGGGGTGAGAATACACATACTCCCAACCTATATATGAGCTCATACAAATGTAGATGTATATATAGCTATTGACTTTTGATTTCACAAACTACAACAGAAAAAATTCTGACAATTGCTGTGTGATTAGTTCAGATTCCTTTCATCAGTCTATTTCTGTAAATTTTTACTAATTCACATTAACTCTCTAATTTATATGCATCTCTGGCATATTGACAGATTTTTACCTATCCTGAAATAAACTATTCAGTCCACACAAGTGAAAAGTATTCCGTTCTGAAAGCATAATGAACAGCAGGTCCAAAACAGAACTGGCAACTCAATCTCAAAGGAAGCTTCTATTCCTCATTTCTGTCCTGCTTCTCTGTAAGAAACTGTATCTGCTATTTACACTTCTGTAAGGTCACAGAGCCCGTATGGACTACTTCCATAGTATACATTTCACTGGGCTGGTATATTGAAGATCCAATTTGATTTGAATCCATACTGATTAAATTTAGTCTTAAGTCCTCACCATTCTTCACATGATTTTGAGTCTACTCTGAGCTACACCTTGTGCTTTTCATGCACCATGAGGGTATCTGACACCTATGGCATGCTACACAGGACTGACACGATATGGTTGCAGTCTGAGCTTGAATAGCCTTGGGACAGCCTGCAGGTCCCCCTGGCCTGCCAGTGGCCCAAAACCAGAAACATGGATCCAACAAGTGGAAGCACAGAGAGGGACATTAGTAGCCCATCCCGTAACTTTTCTGCAGGGGACAATATAGATATAGACACCAATTGCTACGGGAACATCTCTGGGTTTAAGTGCTTGCTATTCATGTATTATTTTCTACTCACCAGACAATAACATATGTGTCTGAGTGTATCTATATTTCTTTATCAATATAATTTTTGACACACTTGAGGTTTCCATATAATGATAAATAATGCATAATGAGAGAAGAAAAAAAGCTTTTATCTTGCCTGTTCTCCAGAAGCAGTCCAAAAGAGGTCAGGGACAGAATGATAAAACAAATTCTCAGGAGAATAGTTCCCTGTGATAACATCTGTTAAAAAGTAGACAAATAATTAATTTAGAGTAATTTTCTGAAGAGAAATTGTGTTTTAACAGAACAGTAGCTTCAGGAGCAGTCTGCTCCTGAAGAACTGCACCCTGTGGAAGGGACCCACACTGGAGCAGTTCAGGAAGAACTGCAGCCTGTGGGAAAGACCCATGTTGGAGAAGTTCATTCAGAACTGTCTCCATGGGAGGGACTCCACGCTGGAGCAGGGGAAGAGTGTGAGGAGTCCTCCCCTGGAGGAGGAAGGCGTGATATAGACAACGTGTGACAAATGGACTGCAACCCCCATTCCCCATCCTCCTGTGTGGCTGAGGGGGAGGAGATAGAGAAATTGGGAGCAAAGTTGAGCCCAGGAAGAAGGGAGGGGTGGGGAGAAGGTGTTTTTAAGATTTGGCTTTATTTCTCATTATCCTACTCTGATTTGACTGGTAATAAATCAAACTAATTTTCCCAAGTCGAGTCTGTTTTGCTGAGTGGTCTCTCCCTGTCCTTACCTCGACCCATGAGCCTTTTGATATATTTTCTCTCCTCTGTCCAGTTGAGGAGAAGAAGTGATAGAGCAGCTTTTGGTGGGCACCAGGCATCCAGCCAGGATCAACCCACCACACTAATTTTGAAGTAACATGTTACTTGAAATTTTACAACAAAAATATCTGCTCTAGATAGCACACTTAACTGGAGTAATCACCTTTATTGTTGTTTCCTGAATGCTGTATTTCCAAAATAATGTTTAAGATATTCCCTTCTGCGCTAGCTGTTTTCCTGAATTACTCGATTCCCTTATGGCTTTACTCAAGGGGGAACAAACATATTTCTAGATAAAAATCTCAGCAGCTCTGTTCTTTTTCTTCATCTTACGCTATCAGATGTCATCTATGAATCCCAATGGATACCAAAAACCAATACATTGGTAAGAAAAAGAATTCACATGACATGACAATATAAGCTTATTGAAGAAGAAACAAAATTAATATTTTCCCTTCATGACAACTCAACACTTGGTTCCCAATTCGGTAAAACTCTTCAATTCATACCACTAATTTGAATCAGACTTAAAATACTTTTAAACAGAAATTATTTTCATCGTGAAGTTTGAATTTTTTCTTTTCATTTATTAAATATTTTTTGTATTCTACACAGCTGCCTTTGAAAAATCAAATATTTAATCAGTTTTCTTGTTCCCTCCCTGACTTCCTTTCAAATATTAGTTTTGAAAGGCCTTTGTTTTTTCATTTAAAAACCAACAAAAAACTGAAAACAAAAGTAGAGGTTCTTGCTGAGTTATAGGAATCCTTTTTGGCTTCAATAGCAATAAGGCACTTATTGCACTTCAATAAGGCACAGCGTCTTGCACTTCAAGATTGCAGGCATTGGAAAAATAAAAATCCATGAATGTCTGCACTGATTTCAATAAATCCCACAGAGTGACATGCCCACCTTCCTTCAGTGGTGGCCCCTACCCCTCGAAGAGATCTAAGGTAAGCATCTGTGAACGTGGGAGGCCACAGGAGGATATTCTCAAGTTTTACAGCTGTGCGAACTTACAGTGCCCATGTTTGCAAAACACATCAAACCACACACTCAGGCTGGGTAGGTTTCTGTTGTTTTACTAAAGAATCACAAGCACCTACTTAGATATCCTTACAAACAGTTAGTGAGCAAAGAAAACACAATCCCAGCAATGAGTGAGCTAAACAGCAGCCTCACCAGTTTACAAGCCAGAACACACTTCTCACAAATGACACCTGTCAAGACACTGTGTTGCACAGATTTATACCAGGATAGATCAAACTCATTACTGCGTTGCTAAATTTCCAATCTGTTCCATCCCTCCTTATGATAAACTTACAAAACCTCAAACTGATGATTACCACTGTCATCTACTTATACATAGACCTTGAGAAAAGATATTCTTTACGCTTTTCTTATGCTCTTACCCTGGGCATCTGCTATTAGCCACAACAGGAGACCGGATATTGAGCTAGATATTGAACCCTGGGGGTACTCAGTATAACAGTTATGTGTTGAGACTCTTGCTTAAGTCAAGAAAGCAAAAAATGCTCTCATGGGTTTATAATCCTTTATCAAGGTTTGTATCACTTGGAATACATTTGCAAATTCCAGATACAAGTTGTAAAATTTGTCAATAAAAGATTAAATTGAGGGTGCTCTTTTTGAAAACTTCAGCTTCTAGAATCCAAAAATCCCACAGCTCTCCTAAGTTTAAAAGACTTTCCATTGTTAACAGGAAGCAATTTGTTTTGAAGTGACGAAATTTTTGGACAGAGCTTTTTTATAAAAATCAGGCACAGACTCCATTCAAGTTTAATAAAATTAGTAGTTCCTAACCTGCTCATCTAGCTACAGTAAGTTCAACTCCCGCTTCAGCTTCCTGTAGAAACTGAGTCATACAAAAATTCAAGAAGTGAGCAAAGAAAAACACAATTTGGCACAGGCACAAGGGAACTCACCCATAAATTTCTTAGAAATGCTTTGATAGATTTTTCAATGATTGTTACTTGTCAAATAAAGAAGTTTGCCAGGGAACTAGGACTGGAATTCAAAACTTTCCTCCTTAGACTGTCCTCACTTTTAAAGTTGGAGAATTACACCTATTTTTAAACCTAGTCCTCCTGGCCAGATGGGTCTGATTTTGCTGTGTTTCCAGTGCAAGGTACTAGCTTCTACAGACAGCCCTAAAAATGGGACAGCCACAGTGGTAGGGCACTATTCTGAGAAAAAGAATGTAAAGTTTTGTATCCCCCTTAGACAGGAAAGAGAAAATTTCCAAACCCAAATTTTAGCAAGCCATGTAATTACTGCATTACAATATATGGCTAAAATCATGCTTTATGGAGAACAAATGAACCTGCAATGGTTCTGAAAGAACAAATGTTAATATTTATCTTTGGGAAGGATCCAGCAGTACCTGCTATGAATGAATAAGAGTGTCTCCAATTTCCAATTTCAAAGAGTGGCATGATTTCACACTTTTCTGCCCTCACAGTGTTTTCGAGTTGGCTAGCATTAGACAACCAGTCACCAGGTCCCAGGCATCTGAATTTCCTTTTGATTTCAGTTTCAGTAAGCTGAGGTGCTGATTCATTCTACTTTCCTTTAAGTACCTTTACTGAAGTGCCTAAAACCTGTTATTAACCTAAGCTTTCCCTGTAATCAGCAGAGAGAGAGAGCTTTCCAAATTGTTCTATTTCTTGCCATTAGCTAGACAGCAAGTCTAGAGGCTAAATTTGGTCCCTACACTAGGACTTGGATTTGAGTGAATGATGGAAACACTTTTCCAAAGCAGACTCTCCTGGGTCATATTTTCAGTGTTGTTTTCTCTCATAACTTATATCAGAATTTTTTTCTTTGCTTAAAGTTATATTTTAATTGCCATTTCCAAAAAAATGGAAAAAAATAAAATAGTCTTTTAAAGTTACTATATTTTCAGAAAAAAAAACCTATTTTTATTATTGTTTTCTTGTATTGTTGTTGATGGACCTTGAAATAATGAGAAGATTGATATCAGAGACACTGTAATATTGTCATTCAGACTGCAGCTTTCTCTCCACAAAGGAAGGATTGAATACAAGAATATAGAGTGTGACTCTGCAAACTTCTCTTAAATGTTTTCTCTAATACCTGTGAAATTGGACCCTAGAGTTATCAATTGACTCTCCACATTTATCTAACTACAGAAAAAAAAGCCGAGATTAATAATTTTTTAAAAATAATAATAAATTTCAGTTCAGTTTTCAACACGGATTTCCAGAAGAAAAACAGTAATAGAAATACATTTTAATGTATGTTAGCAAATCAAAAGAAAGAAATGAGGAAACATTATAATTTAGGAAAATCAAATGCAAATATAAACAAGCCTTTATCTTTAAATGGTTAAAATGCTATATGAGGTTTGCTGCTGTAATACGTCTGATCATATTTTACATATTCTGTTTTTCAAGCCAATTTCTATTTCTCTTCAGACGCTCTCCTACTTGAACTATATTATTTTGAACACTAGCTGTTTGCAAAACTTCTTGTGGTCCAATACCACCTTTGGCCCAGAATGTGAAGGACTGAAGGAATCCAAAGCACAGCCTGCAGATCATAGTTATTTGCAAACGGGCAGCATCATCAGACTTACACGAATATATGGCACTGTAATGCCCAAGTACAGTGTTCCAGCCTTCCACTTCCCAGGTCTTCAGCTTCCTGAAATGATGAAGGGTGAGGCACAAAGCCTTACTGAGAACCACGAAGGTAGAAGGTGTAAGTTACCCTTCACTGCAGACACATGCACCACATTCACATATAGGAAAAAATCGTGTTCCCTCATTTGTGCTCTTATTTGAATATGACCAAGAAATTGGTGGTGAAATACACCATGATGCCATTTGAGAATAACAGCTTTTAGAAAACTAGCCATGTAGCATAAATTTTAGTATTGTTAGTTTGCTTCCATAACTTTCCTCTTCCAGCTCCAGTGGTATAGTCACATAATGCCTTAATTCTTTTATTTACTTTCAAACTTGTATCACCCTATGAAGTGGATGCTGGCAGCTGAGGCATCCATTTTCTAGGCATTACTCTACCAAAATCAACAAAATAGTCGGTGGGTTATATCACTAAACTAAACATCATATATTAAATCTACAGACCGCAAGTTGCAGCGTGAAAAGAATGTCTTTTACACTTTTGTTAGTGCTTGCATCCTCGTTCCACTTAAACATAATATGCATGGATGTATATATAAAATAAATTCATATTTATATACTGGAGTATTTGTATAAATAGAGAAGCCTGTGGGATCACAGTAGGTTCCTCAATTATGAGTCAGCCACAACTTTGCAATGTGGTTATTGGCTGCAATCAAACAGAAAAAAATATTTCTTTTGGATTTTGATTTCATTGAAAGCTTTAAAAAGATCTTGGAGCCTTAAAAAAAAAAAAGGCAGTTATAGAATTTTGGGAAGGAGTTTACATGGCTTTGTACTAAACATTGTCACAGTATTATTGTTTTATATTTTTTTAGTAATGAAAAAATAGTTCATTTAAATAAAGGAAACATGTCACTCCAGATGTGTATTTAGACGAAAAATGAAAGATTCCAAATTGAATTCTATTTAAAAAGCCTCTGATTCTTTTATACCTTTTGAAAAATAACATGGATGCATTTTCTCATCCTTGTGTGTTCAGTGTTTCAGCAGAACTGCTAGGAACGATGTCAGCACATTTCATAATTTAATAGATGCCCTGCTGTCATATATTCACTTTCAACATTCAAATGAAGAATGCTACTACAATGCAATGAAAGGTATATTGTTAGCTGTCTTTGTCTGCGTGAATTTATTTTAGCTAAGAATTCATAAAAAAAAAAAAGTAAATTCTCAGCAATATTCCATACACAGTACCCAGTGATGTCCTACTGAATGGATATATTAATTGTGTTCTCAGCTGTCAAGAGATCTATCTTAACTGTTACTATTTTTTGTCTAATTAAAACTGCTCACATATCCATAGCATTATAAGCACAGAAATGTTACAGTATCTATCGACAATAAAAATCAAACTGCAAAATGTGTTCAAGGTACACTTCACTTTGATTTATGTGATATACGCAGTTCTGGAGCTATGAGACTTTCACTTTCAATGTACTGCAGTTTTACACTCCTAGCACTCTCTCTGGGACTGATCCAAATCCCATTTCTTCAATGAGCTTTGGAACAGATCTAGATGTGCAGAGCTCAAAAGTAATTTTTATTCTCTGGATGTAGTGCAGATCACTATATAGAAAATAAACACTGTATGCTCTCTCCTGTGGAAAATATATATTTTTTTCTTTCTTGTTTTGCTCTTTTTGCAAGTTAAATGTAGGTCATTCAGACCGAAGGTATATTGTTGCTCTTTACGTGTAGAGAAATTTAACACCTCTACAGGGCGTGAGACCAAACACTGAGCAACTGTAATCACTTGAGAAATGTAATAGCTGTGTGCTGTGTCTTATGGCTATTATGAAATGGAACTTATACTTAAAAATGAGGAAAACAGTTAGCTTTCTCCATTTATGGAGCTATGCCACAGTTATGACATAATTCAGAGCCAGACAGAAAGTTCCAGTTGTATCCATAGACATTTCATAACTCAGTGTAGTGGAAAACTGATATTGAAGAAAGATTTTTGCCAAGTAAAGTTATTCATACACAAGCTTCCTTCTCATGACAGCTTCCCCACTGTACTGCAGAGCCATGCTGGAACTCTGCCTTTGGACCGGCACTTTCTACGCCCACGCCAAAGGTTTATGTCCTGCGATGAGGTGCTTCTAGTCCCTCGTGCTCTCCCTCTTATCCTTACTACCTTATTACCCCACAGTTTTGTGCAGAGAATATTCTAGTTGTTTTTCTACAGTAAGTTCTTAAATGGTGGATCTTCAGGATGTTTCCTCTACGATTGTAAGAATTTAACAATCATCTGGGGCTTGGGTGCATTTTTCAACTTCCCTTATTACTTATTCTTAAACAGCTGCAGTTATCAGCAACAAAAATAATTTGGACTACCCGTTTTTCCTTCCAGGACCAGAAAAAGGCAAAAAGAGCAAAGAATAAAACAGGAAACAACTCATGAGCAGACTCCTTATATCTTGCTGTTAAAAGCAAGAGCAACAAAGATACAAAAACCCAGCCAAATGAAAACCCCACAGTTTGATTCCTACACAAATATGACTTGCTGCTGGTATGTAGGAATCTAGCAGCACATCCAGAAAACCTTGCAGAGGCTTTTATCAATATAAGAACATTGGCAATCATGTATACTGTATATCTTGTACACATTGGAGGTATTTATCCTTACCTTTGTCTTAATTTCCTGTCCTCAGAAATTTCTTAGAATAGACTAAATCTCAGACGGTTTAGTAATCTCTGAATTCCCTGCAATTGCAGTGTGACCCTTTATAGAAGTGAATACGATGTGTAGAATAACTTAATATTAATCAGAAGAGTATGCCTGAGGCAGCTTTTATATTATATTTGGAATACTACATAAAATACTCTCGAACCTTTTCTCAAAAATTGCATCATTCTACTGGACTGATGTGCTACTCAGAATATATCTAACCAAAAACGTAAAAAGAAAAAAAAGGCTGTAGCAGCTTGTATACACAGAGCTGCCAGGGCTGCTATAAGCCTGCTGCCACGTATCCCAAGAAATTACTGCAGGCAGAGGCCCTCTTCTGCCCTTCTTACCCTGGGACAAAGAGGAATGTCTGAGTCAGAAGACCAAAACATTGTCATTTGGACAAGATTTCTGACAACTTTGAAATGGCTTTGCAGTTCTCTGGAATCTTTCATGGATGACCATGGTCAGATATGCAAAAGAGACTTCCTGCTACAAATGTGCCTCTTGGCTGGATTCAGACATGTTGGTCATGGGCAAAAGCACTGAGGTGCAGCAAGAAGGGCTGCTCCCTGGGGAAGAGGAGGGGGGCTAGTGGCAGCCAGTGGGAAGGACTCTGTCCTGCAGTGTCCATCAAGATGGGCAGAGGACAGTAACCACCATTGGCCAAGAGGCCAAGGTGAGCATGCCAGGACAGGGCAGGTCCCCAGGTGAGCAGAGGCTGAAGAACCCAGGGGGACCTTGGCACGCTGACAGCAGGTCTGTGGCAATGTGGGTGACACAAACACAAGACGACTGCTTTTTAATCAAAGAGGTAGAAGGGGTTTAAGTAGAATGCCAAAGGGCATTTTATCAAACTGATAGACTTCTGTGATGTTTTGGTAGGCCTTTGACGGGTTATTAGATGAATATTAGATGCATTAAAACTATGCTTTGCAACTAGAAGATTTTAGCTTTAGTAAAATATAAAGAGTTGCCAAGGAAAGAAGAATTAAAAGGAGGTTGGACGGGTGTGATACCTTGGAAGTAATTAACGTCTAGCTTCTTGTAGGCAGAGAAGACCTCTTAGTTCACCTCCGGAGACCATGAAGGAGGAACCACATTGTGTTACCAGGGATATCCCGCCAACCCAAACATGAGGTTGTAAATAGCCTCTCCTTGCTGTATTTCTATCAATGCTGTTGTATGTCACAGACCAGGAAAAGGATTTGCCCTGAGTCTGTGCTCCTCTAACTCTGAACTTACACCGACACAAAGCTTCCCACCTGCGAGCACTGCAAGACCTTTGCAATCTTTCTTCTAAAGTTTGGGCATTATTGGCATCTAACAATATGATCAACATTGACATCTTAAAACCTACATAGTTTCAAGTCTAAGATACATTTTTCCTTTCATGAGGTCCTAAAAATGGAAGCAGACACATACATCTTCTATGGAACGTTTATTGTTTTTAATTTAATTGCTTAACTTAAGCATATTCATACGTAAATAGAATCATAGAAACAGAATGGTTTGGGTTGGAAAGGACCTTAAAGATCATCTAGTTCCAATCCCCCTGCCATGGGCAGGGACACCTTCCACTAGATCAGGTTGCTCAAAGCTTCATCCAACACGGCCTTGAACACTTCCAGGGATGGGGACAATACCAAGCATTACATATTTAATATTATATGATTATATGTTTGATCATTTATTTTTATACTTTGAACAGAATCTAGTTATTATAATAGTTTAAATAAGACACGAGTCAGGCTGTAGAGCCTCTACTCAACGCATTATTGTTTAAATATGTTGTGTGTCACATTACTGTTAGCATGAGATGCTTTTTCACAAAGATAGGAATTACTTACAGTCACGGTACCAAGAAGTTCAGTATACAGGTCCACTATTACAGCAAAATGTACGACTGCATAGCAATTAAGATAAGCTGGTACACTTGGATTGAATGGAACTTCTTTTCCAGTGATCTGTAATAAAGCAAAACAGATAACAGCCTTCAACAGTGACCTCATCCAGCCTGTTATTCCTTAGTATTCTTTATACTTAAAAATTAAGGGACATAGATAATTGCACAAAGTTAATCTACTATCAAACTTATGTACTACCTAGGATGAGACAGAGTTTAACTCCATGTGTGTATTATGTATGTTCACAGCTAAAAGAAAAAGAGAAATTACCGTACTCTATAGAACAATTTTGAAAATCTCTTTAGGAAATTAATAATGAAAAGATAAATAAAAAATACATTTTTTTCCTTCAAATAAAAAGAAAAAAATCACAACTAAAACATTCATTTCCTTCAGTTTCTGTTCCCATTTCATCTTCCCTTATGCTTTATGACTGCTAATTTGCTAATTTAAAATAGCATGTGTAGAGTTTTTAACATTGATCCAGTAGTATTAAGAGGTCCAAGTAAATTACACAAAACTGAAAGCCTGTGCATGTTCTATTTACCACTGGGATTTCCTCAGGAAGGCCAAGTCTAGGTTTGCCTGGTCCCCAGCCTGGCCCTTTGAATATGACAGAAAGTTTATTGCAGAATCCAGGTGTGGCCCAAAACGTGTTCCAAATATGAGCTAAGGGACGTAACTGAAAAAAAAAAAGAGCAAGTAATTTTTCATTGTTAGTAAAATAAAATTTAATAAAACATTATATTTTATTCATTTTTAGCTCTCAAGTAAGTGATTTTTCAAAGTCTGTAAAGAGAATAAATTATGACACTCAGAAGTTCAGAAAACCTGACTAAAATAGGCAGGAGTCATATCAAGCCCTTGGTTTATAGTGAGGATTACAATGACTTCTGCCTGGAGGAAAATCTCTCTCTCCTATAATCAAACCAGAGTATGTAACAGTATGTTGTATAGCTATACTTGTGGTAGTTTTAAACTAGAATTTTGTTACTGGGACCTTGACATGACACACTTTGAGTAACTAGATTACTTAGTATCTGACTGGAATGGATATAATTGCACAGGCTGTGCAACAGCTTTAGGCCCAGACACACCCACAGTAGAATTTCTCATTCTTTGGGATGCCTCCTTGGGTGAAGTCATGAATAGCAAATGGGGAGGGACTTCAATACTCCTCAGTCCCTGAGGTTTTTACAGAGAATTTTTATCCAGCTTAAGTGAAGCCTGGACCAATAAATCTAAGAAGCACCACACTAAGTATTTTTCTTTTTTTCTTTTTTGTTTTAGGAAAACCCTATATTCAACCTGTTCTGGAGGTTTTGTTGACATCATGATGGCTGCTACATAATGCTGTCAACACAAATCATTCTGGCATACCTTGAACTGCAAATATGCAGAAGAGATAAAAAAGTAAAGATATTACACCATGGGGTTATTTATGAAATATCAATATTTAGAAAAGATAAACAAGACAAAATACATATTTTTGTCTGTGCTTCACTGCATATTGCTCTACATACGGCAGAACGGACACCATTCAGTCCAAGGCTTGTTATATCTCCTTTATAATTAGTTTTTAATTTTACTGTATTGTATTTTCATGATGACTGCAAACTCTGCATATGCTCCATGCAGTGAGTAGAAATAATTGTTTTGTAATGAAATACTGAAGAAATTGTAGATAATTTGACTGTGCAGCAATGGAAGGATGACCTCAACTGTGCCTGAGAGGAGTTTCTTTTGAACATGAGTGCCTGTTGAAGATACCAGAGTTGGTGATACAAACTATAGCACCTGGAGCATGATGGGATCAAACGAATTTACTGGATGTGTTAAGCCATATACAACTTTTGTATCTTCTGCCTCAAATGTTCCTGATGGAAGAAGAAGAAAAAAAAAGAACAACAATCAAATTCTAAAGTATACATATTTTTGACACACTAACTAAATATGAGAGATAATACCTTTTTTTTACTTACCAAATATCCTGTCCCAGATAATGAGTGTGCCACCATAGTTTTTGTCAATGCAATAAGGATTTCTGCCTGTAACAAAAGCCATTTACAAGATTAGTAATTGCATGTATAAGAATACATGCAACTCAATTATAAAGGGAAATCTTCATCATTAACATCAATTTATAATCTAAAAATAATTTTAAAATGCAGCTAACCCACCAGTCCTTCTATGTCTATAAATTCTATTTTTTTAACTAGGCTTATTACTCTCTTTCTACTCAGATTCAAATATACAAATCAAATGTGTCATACTCCAAACTTCTGTGAAATAAAAGGATTCATTTGGAGGGTAAACTCAGTTCAAAATATAAAAACAAATTAAAAAGCAAACAAAAAAATCATTTCACCAGTTTATACGTAAGAAAATATATGCTAAACAAATTTATGTGCAATCATCTCATTAATGGCTTTCAGCTGTCTCTATCTTCTATGCCACATGTCTGCTCCTGCCTTCATTATTATTAACTTCAGTGTGAGGAAAACTGATCCTTTTATCTGTTTTCTAGGGAATGCAGTTGTGTATAAGCTGTCCTATCAAAAGTATAAGCAAAGAAACATTGATTACATATGCCCAAGTTTGTTGAGATTGTCTGGAGTGATGGTATAACACTCGATCAGCTCCGAAGTGATTCTGCTTAACTCCAATCAGGATCAGAGGATTAGTTTGGATTTACAGCACAGCAAATAAGAGCAGAGTGTCTCCCTCCAGGATTACCACTACTTGTGCAAATTTTAAGGATTAGACACCTACAGCACCACAGACTTTTTAAAAAGTCTACACAGTGCCATAAACACTTTACACATGGAGGATCTAATAAATATTAATAACATTCTCTGTACATATAACTGCATTTGAGTCTGTTTCAAAATTACGTTCTTCTTCTATTGCCCTATTACTTTTTTACTTATTGTCTCTGCTCATGGAATGAGCCAAGAGCATCTATGAAATTCACTTCAATTCCTCAGATATGTTCATGACATTTTTCAATACACAGTGGATTTATTAATCCAATTTACTTATGCAGTATGGTCTTGAATGCCTCTGAATATTGATGAAAAGTCAATCATCATGCCCTTGTGTGAAGTGAGATTTTGCAGTAATTCAGACAGCTGAAACCACATTTCACTAAAACATTTAACAGTTCTTCTAAAAAGTAACCAGGTCTTTTTGCGCATTCAGTGCTTGAATTTGAATGCAAAAGCATGTTAGTAATTGACAAGTTGGTTGTTTTAGTAGTCAAGGAAGGATGAGATATTTTTATATCGCTCTTCATCTTTACAAACGTTGAATTGTTTTGCTCAAAGTCTTCAAATTATTTCATGTTATCCAGGCTTAATTTCTGCTCAACAACTAATCCTAAATGTAAATATTTAAAAATTAAATTAAGTTATAGCAAAAGTTCTTTAAAATATTATGAAATTTCTAACTAAACAAGGACCACTTTTGAAGCAATGATCAAAATTAAAATCCTTACATAAAACTAATTTTACAGTACAATTTTAGTACTTTATTATTATTTTACAATTAGTGACCACAAGAAAAAACACACTGAGGAATAGGAGGTTACACTTTTAGCTTACCATGATGAACTCTGTGATGACTAGGGGTATTAAGAATCCACTCCAGAGGCCCAAGGTTGGTAATAACCTTGAAAAAAGTAATGTTTCAATGAATTTGAAAATACCACATAAAATCAAGAAGGAGGGAAAAGACGGGGAGGAAATTCATAAAAAGGATGTTTATCTTAAGGAGAATTGCATAAAAAGACAAGAATGTAATTTTTTTGCCTGAACCATTTCACTGTATTACAGTTACAATAATTTTCATGAAAAAAGATGAAATTTAGTAAAACGGAAGTTCAAAATTAAATTTCTTTTTGATCCAGCAGCACATTTTCTTATTTTTATTATCTGTTCATGATTCCATACAGATCATTTCACTCACATTTTTCACCTATATCCATTAGCACTGCTTGGAATCCAGTGTAACCCTAGGATTCCAGTTATGTGAACACTTTACATCAGCATTTGGCCCAGAAAAAAGTACTGCCTCCTTCAGTACCTTTGACTGCTTGTTCCTTCTATCAGTATCCTTCTTTTAACCCAGCACGAATGCAGTAACACAACAAACCTGATTAGGGCACTGATGCAAGTTAAAACTAATTTTGTTGTTTTTTTTTTTTTTCTAAATTAGTTTAACTGGATCAGTTCCTGAATCTGATCCAACATGTGGTCACAAATACACTGGCATGAGTCAGAGGCATGAAAGGAAAGTAGACCAGCACACGTTCATAGCAAAGCTGCAATCTAAGGCAACGATTCAACAGTACAGAAAATCCAGCCTTGATCATTTTAGCACAAGACCAAAAATGACATAAAGTGTCAATGGCCATAAACAGATTCAAGCTTTGTCAGAAAATGCTGATCAATTAGGTTTGTATCAGCAGGGTTTATGCTAAATTAGGTACTCTCCTGTATTATAGAGCCAGAGGAAAGCCAGCATTAAGCTCAAATTTTGTGCTTTATTTAGCGAAACAGAAGTGTGTGGATAGCTAAACACAGCAACCATTGCTTAATCCCAAACACAAAACCAGCAATCACAAACAGATGCAATCACCGGATGACCAAAAGGATTTCTGTTAAAAATATATCCTAAAATAGTATCTATTCATCATGTCTGATTGTGACCACATCTTGAGATTAAAAGAGGTGGAGGAGGGGAGAAGCAGCTAAATAAAAATTCTTAGACCTTAAGAAACAAAACCCAGAACTTATTACTTTACTTTATACAAAACTTCATTAGTACATTCGATACTCATACTGCCAAAACAGGTGATCTGTAATATAATAATAGAGATAATATTGGCAAAAAACACATAAAGTAGAGAGGCAGACAGTCATTACTTATGAGAGCAGGCCCATTCATGTAAATAACTAAACATACAAGGATTTTTATTCATTTAAGGTTTACAGAAAAAAGTCTTAAAATATGCCCGTTCCATTTCTGTTTAATTCACATTTGTGCAAGTGAAAGTAGATCTGTCAAAAAGTAGACACAGGATATTCTTCAGATGTATTTAAATTTTTATGAATCAGGCACATATCACAATAAAAAGAAAAATTCTCTTTTGTTCATTTTGTCTCTAAGAACAGCTAAAAGAACTACTTAGGAGGTTAAGTAGAGCATTTCCGTAATCGAAGGAGTATAGAAACGAGCAAATTCTTCAGCTAGAGAGAACTGCAACATTTGGAGCATCTGTGTCAAAATCCTGCACATGCTTGACTGGAAAAGCAGAATACTGGGACAAGTTTGGTATGTCTTGTTTAACTCAGAAGCCAAGGACAACATAAGTAGGACCATTTGTATTTCTCAGTTCTTCCTCTAAATAAGTTCAAGCCTGAAAAGACCACCTAAAGGTGAGAAACGATTCATCATTCGTGCTAGCTCCACTTCCCGTCTATCTCAAGCAGAAAATCCCACTGTTTTAAGCTATGTGAGATGTGATCACTAAATTAATTTAATCCGAGTCAAATGTCTTGGATTGAACTGCAGCCCAGCACCTGAGCGCGCAGTGATTTATCTATTAGACCACACCTAACTTTGATACACTTGCTTTTAATATATTTCTAGCTCAGTATTTTAACAATTTTTGTGAAAATAAACCAAATCTGCACTAGGAAAGCAGGGAATCACTAAGGAATAGCAGTCTTCACTTTTAGCCTACATGTGGATTATAATAAAAAGTCCTCATAATGAATGCCTTCAAGTCTTCAACATCCAGCTGATTAAATTCATATTTCAAAATTAAAATTCATCCTTCTGAAAGTCCATATAATACATCGGTATGCTACAGTAGAACTTTGTGTTCTTCTTCCCTAAGAACCTCAAGAACATACTTAAATTTTAAATAAATATTTCTGACTAATCCTAGAGGAAGTATTTTCTTTGGAAAATGAAACCTCTCTCGTCCTTTAATATGATCTCAGCCCACTACATAGTCTTTCTTTGTGTGATGACATTTACAAATCTACTGAAATATCTTCTCTGCAGCATCATTAGTGATTGATGCCTGAGCCTACTTTGATTGATTATTTAGCCAAGGTTACCTCCATTGCAAAGACATGCTAGCCACATCCTGATGGAAATATCATCCGAGATAGCTATTAAAACCCCATGACTTTTAAGCTCAGAGGTGGTACAGAACTCTATACGTGACCAAGCAAAAATCCAGCATGCTGAAATTAGCAATCCATAAATCAATACTTTGGCTAAAACACATCAAAAATATTTTTTCACCAGATATTCAAAATGATACAGGGTCCTATTTCTAGAAACTTCCTTTGCTATCAGTAAGTTTACTTCTATATATTTAGCACATTTCTAAAACAGAAAAAAACTGTTGCCAGTGGAAAGCTTTTGATTCCAAAAATTTTATAAATATTTTATAAATGTATAAATATATCCACATCATTCCAACAAACAGAAATATATCACTGAATTGTTAAGGCTCCTGCAGCACCACATGGCAAAGAACATAATTATGTTGTTGAATTTTGTTGAAATTTTCTATATTCTGCCATCTTACTAGAGGCAAAACTCCTACAAGCAGATCTTTCACCAAAATAAATTGTCAAGGCTAGGATAATAAGACAATTTTTACCAGGCAAGATTCTGACCCTGTTATGTCAGGCTGACAGGAACTTACTGAAATCACAGTGAAAGGAATGAAGTTTGTAGGAATTGACTGGTAACAAAATTTAATGTACTGTAACCACAGTCCATGTTCAAAAGAGTGCCTACCAGGCAACAGAGGGCAGAAAGGCAGTGGCAGGAACTCCACCTACCCATCTACCTTTCAGCTGTCAGTCTGCCCTCATTTCTGTGCCTTCACTGTGTCTGGACATTTTCCTTAGAGAACAGCAATTGCAAAGGAGCTGGGAAGTGTTCATGCTAGCAGTAACCAAGCTTATACTGTAAATGCAACCAGTTTCCAAAGCATATACACTGCTAGGTCTCAGTCATTCAAGAAAGCAAAACATTTTCAGCTTAAAATAGCTTTGCATTCAAAATGGCTTTTTAGAATAAGATCTTTCACAGTTTTCACGTTTCAGGAAAAAAAAAAATTAAGAAAATTAAGAAAATTAGTTATTATCAGAACAGCTCAGTTTTTGTGGCTTATAATCAGGATTTTCATTAAGAAAAAGCTTTCTGTTATAATTTTTGTAAGCAGTATAAAGTTTTGTTTCAGACCTTTTTACTGAGAAGTAGCTTCAAAATTTTTTTAAAAAATAAAACAGTGGAAATGTTATTATTCAATGTCCCTATCAACTGCACTTCAAACCCTATTTCCTATTATTGAAAGGAAAAGAAGTCTGCTTGTGAATATAAAATATTCTTGTTCTCCATATCATCATCTTCCAGTGAAAATAGCTACCAGTCTCCTAAAAGTTGAAATACCTCAGCTGTTGTCCGGCGATGACCTTATCTTTATTTTGAACAATATGGCTGAGGGCTTTACACTTGCATTTGTTTCCCTGATATAGATACCTACTGTTCTAAATCAATTCCTGTCTCAAATTTTTCCTCTCTCAATTAGCACATCATGTGCACCTCAACTCCCATGCCAGTGACCCACAGATGAACTGCAGCATTCCAGCAAAACTCTTTTCCTGTTTGCTTTGTTTATTTTTTAACATCCCATAGCCACAAAAATAATTTTTCACTTGCCAAAACCCTTACAAATGGACTTGATAAACTACCTATAAATCAGATATGTAGGTATGCTATGTATACCAGCTATAAAAGCTTTGTCAGATCTCTCCGCAAAACATGGATTCCTCTTTCTTTCCTTTTTTTTTTAAACAGACAACATATTCCCTTCATTGTAGTTGAGTATCACTAAATAATAAAGCAGAATTACTGACAATACTTGAAGCAATTCCAAGAGCAGTTTAATAAATAAGGCAGGCTAAAAGCTGCATGCTTAGACAAAATCTCCACACATTACTGAATAAAACATGCTGGAAGTGAAATCTTCATGTATAGGGGCAACTAAACAGTTTTTTTCTGTAATAGTAGTTCTTATATAAAGATGTTTCTTTCGTGACAGCAATCCCTAGCCTAAAGGAAAAGAACATTATGCAATATCTCTTGCGGCATGTAAGCACCGCCGTTTGCGGTCTCGGAGTTTGTCAGCACCAAGGGAAATCTTTATTGCCTGGTACCTGCACCACTTCAACGTAGTTCTTGTTTAAATAATGAGAAAAAATCGTGACATGAAATCCAAGGGAAACTTTACATCTTGTGTAACAATTCCTCCTGTCACCACTACGACATGAATCTTTACTTAACTCTGTTTCCACATGAACCTTAGGAAGGAATGTCAACTGAGTAGAGCAGGCAATGTTACAGTAAAACCATTTGTATATAAAAAGTGTTTTGGTTTTTGTTTTTTTTTTTTTCTTTCAGTATAAGAAAAGCTGTTTGTAGCACAGCACTACTTTCAATATTATGGTGTTACTGATCTACAGGACAGGAGACAGTAAATTCATCCCTGGAACATCATTAAGGAGCACTCTGAACTTAGCTTTCGAGTTTCTGTTAGACTAGTTGGTAGTAAAACACATATTACTATTGATTTCCTTCTC